TTACTGTACAGCCCCGAACTTTAGGCACTACACGGCAGTGACATTTTCCTATGATCGCCTCTTGACAGCATTACATCCTGAGGCATTTTAAAGCTTAGGTGTTTGGCCTTCCACTCAAGCACAGAAGAGCTTCTTAGGTGGTCTGCCCAGCAGTTATGGAGAGTTTGGGAACCTTCTGTTCCCTCCACAGCTAACTCTTAACCAGACAATAGCACTAAAGGTCAATAAAGGCACTGAAATAGGCCTTATACAAGTCATTAAATAGATGTCATAAATGATTCCAGGTAAAGTGGTCAAAGAACCATGTCAGCTTAAACTTCCTATTCAAGTCATCTTCCCCCCATATAGTGTACAGTTTGGTCATGCCTCTATAAAATCTTCACAATAAATATTGTTCTTTTGATAGTCTGTTTGTGCCTTCACAAATATTGCATATGAAGTTACACTCAAGTTGATTTATGTACATCCATAAATATAGACATCGTACTTTAGAAATATTAGCTTAGCTACACATTTTATTTCCCAACCCCACTAATAAACAAATTACTCTGGAATGAACAACAGAAACGGACCATTTATAGCCATGTCCATTATTAACACTCTGGTTTGAGCTGCTTTCATTCACCCTTTGGATTATCTTTACTCTGTGCTGTCTACTCTCCACCCAGCAGCCACAATACTCCTTTTAAGTCAGATCCTATTACCACTTGTTCCAATCCCTCCAAAGAGCCCCTGCTTTGCTGCCCACAGGCCTCCTTGTGCTTTCTGGAACCCTGGGCGGGTTCCTGCCTTGGTTTCTTTGCTCTAGCCTCTCCTTCTACCTCCGTTGCTCTTCTCCCAGCTGTCTGCTTGGACAACTGCCTCACCTCCAAATCTTTACTCAGATCTTTCCTATCTTGAAGGATGGTTCTGATTGCCTGCTTCTTATGGTGACCACACCTCCTTGATCCTAGGCATTATATCCCTTCCCTGCTACATTTTCTTCTTCTTTACATAGCACTTACCACCTTCTGGGCTTCCCTGGTGGCTCAGATGGTAAAGAACCTACCTGCAATGCAGGAGACCCAGGTTTGATCCCTGGGTTGGGAAGAGCCCCTGGAGAAGGGAATGGCCACCCACTCCAGTATTCTTGCCTAGAGAATCTTGTGGACAGAGGGACCTGGCGGGCTACAGTCCATGTGGTCTCAGAGAGTTGGACATGACTGAGTGACTAACACTTCTCTTTTCACTATCAGCTTCTAAACCCCTCCTGAGATACATTTACCATGATGCCAATGAAACCTTAGCTTTAAGGCCCCTTTCCTAGTCCCCTTCCAAAACCCTGGGGAAAGCCCTAGCAATGGACACATGTTTCTCTGCAATTTGCAAATATATGTTAACTACAGTTGACTGAGACTATTGTCTGTTTCCACCCTGATTTCATCTCTATCACAGTTTCCCTTGTACCAGGTAGAGCTGAAGTGGCTGCAGGAATTTTTGAGATCTGGCTAAGGGGAAACCGAATTGAGGAAACATTTAGTTTGAGCGTGTGCTGTGCTTAGCCAATCAGTTGTGTCCAACTTTTTGTGACCTCATGGACTGTAGCCCGCCAGGCTCCTCTGTCCATGGGGATTCTCCAGGAAAGAATACTGGAGTGGGTTGCCATGCCCTCTTCCAGGAGTTCTTCCCAACCCAGGGATCAAACCCAGGTCTTCGGCATTGCAGGCAGATTCTGTACCATCCAAGCCACTAGGGCATAGTGAGATGTAATTAGTGGTTTGCAGTCACTTCCCTCTATTGTTCAGGTAGTGCTAAGCCACCCTGGTATGAGAAGAGGCTATGGAAGATTGCTACTGTCTGCTGGCCATAGACTCTATTGCTTTTTGACTGTGGACTAGAGTGCCTGTCAGCAGAATTATGGTGGTGGAGGAAAAACATAGTGTGAAATTAGCAAAGTCAAGTAATTTGCAAAAAAGCCTTTTTCATTTTACAGCTCATATTGTAAAGCAAGCTAATCAAGTTTTTCCCAATTTGACATCAACCCTAAAAATTTTTATGAAATTATCAACCAAGCTGTGACATTGATAGACATTTTCCTAATCAATAATGAATTTTTTGATTAACCATGCAAGAGGGAAGATGGAATTATCTTCCTATTCTCCTTACAGAGAATGTTAGAAGATTATCTTATGAAGAGGTGATTGAAGACAATGCAGCCAAAAAACATGCATTGGATAGTAAATTAATGAAAATACTTTGTAACTTTTTCTGGATTTTGTCCTTCTTTTTGCTCTGCATGAGCTTTTTAATATGTGTAAATTGTGATTTCTCATTTGAAATGAATATTTTATATCTAGGTTTGCATTTGTAATTTTGCATTCATTTGTTAAAGAAACCCCACCAAGATGTGTAAACTTCAGGCCTCACAAGACCTGATGTTTTCTGACCATGCTGAATGATTTACTAACTTGTTCTGTCAGGAATCTTAGTTCACTGGTGTATCTTCACTCGAGCAGTGATTGGCACATAATAGTCACTCAATAAATACTTTTTGAATGAATGAATGAACAACATTACAGTGAAACATTAACATTAACCTAATTTAATTCTGCTGAAGAAAAGTTCATGTTGACATGAAAGAAAGTCATTCATGGAACCCTCCTCCTTGAAACTCTGTACTTTGTGCAACTAAGGGCCTAGAAGTAAATTCCTATTTATGGATTTTTTTTTTCAATAGTTGTTAGCTGCCATGTTTTTTGAAAAGATGTGGATCACTTATTTTTTAGGTTCTATTGCCTTATCCCATGGGACCCATGATTAGCCTCAGCTAGCTTTTTGCTTCACCCTACTCTAAGGGTGAGAATTTATTTTTAGAACTGTAAGGAGGTGATGGCATGCAGGGTACCAGTAGGGTGCTAGTACAGCAGTTGGTTTTTCTTAAGCCCAGGATTAGGCAGTGGGAAAATAAAGATAGACTATTTTTAATTTTTCTATATAAACTCTACTTAGAGAGCTACCTTTGTTTAGACATTGGGCAATGGAAATAAAAATACTTTTCTTGCAGAAGAAGAAAACCAATAAATAGAATATTTAGATTTTTTTTAAAGGCTTGGTGATATAGACCTTAAAAACAAGACCTTAAAAACAAGGGCCTTAAGAAAAGCAGAATCTCATAGAGTTTCAGCTTGGGGAATTTTTACTTTTATAGAAATTCAGAAAAAAAAAACAACATTATATGAATGACTAGTGGAGGACAGATTTCTTTCACTTAAGCAACTAAGCTTTTGCTTAAACAGTAAAGCACCTCTTTTTTCTTTATGCCATCATAGGAATTTTAGAGGCCAGAGCTTTTTTATTTGAGAACACTTTTTTCTGGATGTAGAAGGAAAGGCTTATTAGCATTAGTGAAGGAAGCAATAAGCTAATGAAGGTCTTAGGTGTCATCCAGGTCCTATCTGCTGTCTCAGTTTGATGGTTAGCCCCCACACAGCTATTTTCTAGAATATAATTTGCTGCACTCAGACCATGTGGGGCAACGAGACATCAATAAGTGGTCCAAACTGACCTGTTGTCAACACTGACCTTGGAGAATGCGTGCCACCTAGAATTGTGAGCATCACTGCTAAACGGCTCTGTTGTCTTAAGAGTTCTGTTCGATTAGGACCTTGAAAAGATTGTTGGGACAGTAAGATTCTCCTCCCACATTATTTCCCATCAGTTTGAAGGCAACAGTTGGGTTTTACATAGTTCCTGGCTAAAGTAGAGAGATTTCTTGCTCAGAACTGTATCTTTTCTCAGAAAAGAGATTTTAAAAAATCCCCTTTAGCAAAAGCTACTGTCGAGTGTGGAGTGGTAGTGCGCTGAGGCTGACAGGTGCACCGTCTCCTAGACTATCAGCACAGTGAAAGGCATGGAGTGGAGAAAACCCCTCCATTCTTGAACATTATTTCTATTTTTCTAAATAATTTTTTTTTTTTTTGCCTAAATCCTGAGGAAGTGCTATTGAAGCATATTATTTCCTAGATCAGGTTAGGAGTAATTAATTAACTCTGAAACTATCTCAAAAGTGAAGTAGATGGTTTTTCTTTCTTTTTTAAATAGGGTATTCTCCCAAATTATCTTCTCTGTAGATAACCCTAGAAATGAATAAAATGGCTACTCTGATGTGATAAATCTATCAGAAAGAGAAGAAAAGAACTTCTGAGGAAAAAATACAGTAAAAAGCAAGGGTTTAAATTATTCATCAAGCCTCTCCCGGCCCACTTCCTTTCTTGCCTGGTGAATGGCATACCCCACGTGGGTCCTCAGAGTGGTCAGAAGATGGTGTTCACTCTAATGGAGCCTTCCTTTGGGACTGGTTTATTTGGATACTTTTGACCAAAATGTTAGCTAGCATTTTCTTTTTCCAGCTGAGTGTTGCATAATGCAATGTTCTGAATTTTATCTCCGTTCTCAGCAACTTGTTGCTTATATGCACTTAAAATGGATGACTTCCACTGTACCTTTATGCAATAAATTTGTCAAGTTGGATTTCCTTTCAGTGAGTCAAAAGATGAACTAAACACTGATATATTTTAAATATAAATTAAGCATTCCTCATGCAATTTGTGGCTTTATGCTTTTTCAAAAGAATAAAATGAGCTAGTTAACTGGTTGCCAGCTGACCTTTCCCTGACGCTTGCCCCATGGAAGTATTCAGTGTAATCAGTGATTCCTCCATTAATGTCAGTGTCTCCTTCTATTTTAAGATTGTGGGAAATGCCAGTCAGGTTAAGGACACTGAAACCAAAAGGAGAAACAAGGGGCTTCCTTTATACTGTTCTAGTCCTGTTGATTTTCATTGCTAGTTACTTGCATTTGGTCATACGGGCCGTCCTTGCTTTACACAGTTCCCATACGCATGACTTTCAGTCAGCAGCGTACTGTGCAAAGTCAGGACTGCTTGTGTTTATATATGTATTCATATGTATGTTTATGTGTGCATATGTTTCTTTTTTATTTTTAATGTGCTTATTTTTCAGATATTTGAAAATGGTAAAGATACAGGAGAGATCTCTGTTTGTATCAGTAAAAAAGATCTGGAGCCTAATAGCCCAACTCAAGCTGGCTGCATGATGGAAAGAGTAAGTTTACTGACTTTCCATTTATGACTATGAGCGTCCTCTAAGTTACTTGTAGTTAATTAAGGCAATTACATCTTTATCGTTGTTTAGAAAAGATCAATCATTTGCTGGTCTGTAAAGATTCATAATTTCAAACTTGACTTGTGGATTCCAGAGGTTCTTGGCTTTAGTATAGTATGAACTCCTGGCCGCTTAATAGCATCTCAATTTTCATTATGCTTTTATTTGAAAATCTGTCTATTCTGGACTCTGGAATTGCCCTCTTGTCCACACACTGAAAAGAAGTGACATGATACCCAGTGGAGGGTGTGTTCTAGGTAGAGGGTATTTCTAAGCCCTAGACCCTGAGCAGGTAACACATTGCCCTGGTCTTTGCCTGTGTTCATTGTGAGCAAGTCCAGATGGTTTATCTTAGGCATTCTTACCTTTGCCTGTTTTTTAGACAACTGGGATGTTTCTCAGGCAGAACCGACGTGTGCAGGGTCCTTAGTTTGTGTCTTTGTCTTGCATGAAAGGACACTGCATACCCTGCTGTTTACAAATCGGGGTTATCCGCCTGAGCGCACACCAGCGCCCTGGGCTCCTTGCTTGACCGTTGCTCAGAAACTTGCTCCTTTTCCTCCCCTTGAGTTCAGCACTCTCAGCCTTACCTCTCCCTGGTGGTGTCCATCACCTGCACTTCATAGGCAGTCACAAAAGCTGATCATCCAATCATTAGCTGAGCTCAGAAGAGATGGGAAGTGCTACCTTGATTGTTTAGAGAGAGAGAAGGATAAAGAGTCTTTTTTTTTTCCTAACCATCACATCCCTGACTATAGAAATCACCATGACACAAAAGCCTTCCCAGAATTCTCTACTTGTAATCCCTCTTTTTCAACATTAGAATAGTTCCCATTTTGATTTGTATAAAAAATTGAAGATGGCATTTATGTTAGATTACATAGGAAGATACCATTCTGTAGATAGCTTTTGTTGGCTAATGGCACAGTGAAATTGATCTGTAATTTGCTTCTATATGCAAGATAACTTGGGGGGAAAACCTTTATCTAGGGGCATAATAAAGTTCTCTGTGTGGGATAGCCCTTGTGACACCCAAGGACGACTGTTACCTTCATGCACACTGCCTCAATCACTAGCCTAAGATGTTTCATACTCCTCTCAGGTCTCTGAACAAATTCTTATCCTATAAAGGCCTGGTGATGATAGCTTTAAAGATAAACGGGTGAAGATTATCACAATTTTTGGTCACTATAGCCCAGCCCTCACCAGTGACCTCGAGATGAAAGGCATTGAGGCCTTACCTCCTGTAGGCTGTTGAATGCTCATCTTTGAACACCTAAAATGCAGTGTGTTGCCAAGTTGAGAAAATAGAGATCGCGATGCAACTCCAGTGGAAGTGCATTTGGTTAAGTGGTCAGGTGTTCACATTCCTTCTGCACCGCACACTCCTGTTCTTTGTGTACTTATTCCTCTCCTGGACCAGGCCTTAAATCTTTCATATCTTGCCCCATTCACAAAAAAAGATGATGCCTATAAAGCAGAATCACTGCTGATTTAAAAAATGATCCACATTACCCGTTTTCTGAAATAATAGCAAAGCCACGAAAACTAAGCTCAAGGGCTGAGACCACACAGAAATAAATGTAAGGCTTTATAAGTATAATCCATGGTTTCCAAAACTTGTTTGTGGTTCCAGTGTAAAAAAGCAAAACAAAGATTTTTACTATTCTAACACCTTTACTTGTTATACTTCTGAAGAGAATCAGTTCAGTTAAGTGGCTCAGTTGTGTCTGACTCTTTGTGACCCCGTGGACTGCAGTATGCCAGGCTTCCCTGTCTATCACCAACTTCTGGAGCTTGCTCAAACTCATGTCCATTGAGTCAGTGATCATCACTATCTCACCATCTCATCCTCTGCCCCCCTCTTCTTCTTTTGCCTTCAATCTCTCCTGGCATCAGGCTGTTTTCCAATGAGTGGAGATATTGGTGGTGGTGGTGGTTTAGTCGCTCAGTCGTGTCCAACTCTTGTGACCCCATGGACTGCAGCCCACCAGGCTCCTCTGTCCATGGGATTTCCCAGGCATGAATACTAGTGGGTTGCCATTTCCTTTTTCAGGGGGAGATAAGATTATTTATCCCTAATTCATGCAAAATCTAGAGGCTTTCTACAGATATAGTTGCAGGTCAAAGAAAATATTATATTTGGTTAACAGTTTATAGCCCATAGGTGAGGAAACAGGGATATGTGACAGGCTTGCAACTTCCTCTCCTTTTCTCTGGGCCTCTGCATTTAGCACATCCAAATGTACCTTCAGTTCAATGGGAATTAATAGAAGGAGCAAGAAAGGCACATGAACAGCAGCCAGGCAAGAAAAGGCTGCAACTACATCCGCATCCCTGCCGAGATTACAGAGTAACAAGAAATTGAGAGACACCAGAACTGACAGGGGAGGGAAGAAAAGGAAGCCTGTGACAGAGGCTGTGGGGGGACCAGAGTGATGGATAGTGTGGGACGCAGCACGGAGAAGAGCAGAGGCCTAAACACTCAAACAAAGGTGACGGGTAATTTTGAAAAATGTCTTTTTAAAATTCCATGCCCAACACAGTTCAGCTGGATCTACTTTCATTTGAAATATGCCCTCAGTTAGAAATATCTTAATAATCAAGAGATCTCAAATATAAGACAGATGCAAACACAGACAGTGCTGTTATTTAAAATATAACGATAGCGTTTCATATTTCACACTTCAATTACATCATATTTACAACTTGAAAGCACTCATTATTGAGGCCCCTGGCAAGCCTCTGCAGACTGCTTAATTGATACATCCGGGATGAGGTCTTCCAAATGAAGCAAGGTAGGCTAGAAAGTTGTGTTTATTTTTGCCAGGCTGTCAGTGGTGGATGGTTCCGCCGTTGGTTACCTGAGGTTAGCTGGGGACGGGAGACTGCTGACTGTAAACCTTGACCATCTTCTGGAAGGACCCAACAGAGGGTGTAGCTCAGACAAGGAAAGCATAACCCTCATCAAAGAGGCCCGTTTCTGCGTACAGAAGCTAAATGCTCTTTCTGTAGGACAGTCACATCTGCTTTCAGTCCCCGTGCCAAAGGGTCAGAGCTCAATCACAAGCCTGTGGCACCCCCTGCTGGTTAAAAGCCCGTGCTCATTTTGTTACTTTACACTGAGCTAAACAGCGCTGTGATTTCACACTTCTTTTAACATACTACATGAATTTAATTACCATTTGTTTGGCCTTCCTTTGTTACAGAGGAGAGACGGTTTATTACAGGTGTTCATGTTTTACCTTATCTCTTTTCCTTCTTCCTCCCTCCCCACCCCCACCCAACCAGTTACTTCTCAAGATTCATCAAAGACTTCAAGGTTCTTCCATCCACCCACCAGGCCTCAATTTTTCTTCAATCCGGCTTTTTGATGAGCACGGTCAAGAAATTAAGAATCCGCTTTCACTGAAGAATGAGCAAAAAATTTGGGTCTCTTATGGTAAAGCATACAGGTAGGAGCACGGTGTTTGTTCTCTGTCTGTCCTCAATTTTCCTGTGGCAACCTAATGGAAAAGGAAGTTGAGAAGCCAGGTAGCACCTTTTATGGAAAAAAAAAATATTTTAAATTCCAATAAAATTCCAGGGCTTTTTTTTTTTTTTTATGAGGCAGTATTGTTTGTGGGATATGACATCTCTCTCTGTCTCTGACTTTCTGTCTTAATGCCTTGTCATAGTTCTTGAAGTCTGCCTGTCAGCACAGCAAGTGGGATTTGTTCATGTCTGAGTAGTCACCTTAATGATAGCAGATGGAAACGCCACAGGGGGCCCAAGCCCATCACACTGTCATTGTCGCACGCTGCCCTGACCTGCTTCCACTCCTGTATTTTTTTGTCCCTTTTTAAAGGAGAAATGGATGGTAATTGAAAAGGATCTTAAGCAAGATTTATGAAGCTGTAGACAACATGATTCCCCACTATCTCTCTCTGTTTTCACAAATAAAGTCTTAACCTTTTAAGCACCAATGACAGGACAGCTAAAGATAAATTGGTAAAGCTTGTAAGCCCTATCCTATCAAAGTTATATTCCTCAAAAGTGCCTTGCATTATTCCACAATAATTACTGGTTATTACTGAGCATTGTGTAAATGTTTGTAGATTGGTAAATTCCTGCATAAAATTATCAGCGTTTCTGAGAAAAGAAAAGGGCTGCAGTCTGTTGTGTGGAATATCTTGGAAATTTATGCATATTTTGACAGGACACATCCAGATGAACTCTGAAACTGCTTGTCAAGAAACTTAAACACACTTTTCTGCCTACTTTTAATCTTTTTGTTTTGTTTTGTGTTCAGCTCTTTATCTGTAGTACAAAATAGGAGAAATAGAAATAATTTTGCTTGTAGAATATAATTGAGCATATATTAATTATAAAATAGCATAGACAAAACTGAGAGCTGATTGGATTTGCTATATATTCTAATAATCAAAGTCAAATCTGCTCAGAAATCCATGAGGGTTTTGGGAAACCTTGGTAGAATTAGTTATGGGTAGCATATTGCAAAATCTATTTCATCTGTCCCAGTGGAGTAAAATTAAAATACTTAATAGTATCTATACTGTGTAATTTATAAAACTGAAAAATATCTGTAAGGAATGGTGCTTTTCCTATGTAGGCAGATTTCAAAATATAATTGTATTGTGAGAATTATTTTTACAATGATAAAAATAGTGATGAATTTTAAAATGGCAAGAATTCTTGTATAATTTAGGAAGCTCTTCAAATTACAAGGAAAAGCTTTAATAAAATGTGTCTCATAATTCTACTCAAATATCATTATTAAAGTGAAAGCAGTGAATAATTTTGATGTTTTTAATGATGTTTGCTGTAATACAGTATTTTAATATGATCATACACTTGTTCTTGGTTAACTAGATTATATTTGTGGAGTAACAAAAAATGCTAAGTATCTGAAATATTCTAAAATCAACTGAGGATCATAGCTGGCAGAATTTATAAATGTGTAATTTGCTTGTATATCATTTCTATTTTAATACCATAATATATATGCATATATATATTTGATTTTGAGTCCAGTGTAAAGCATTAGGGAACCATTATAGCATTTTGCTACTACTGAAACTTCTCAATTAATATCAGTAAAGTTATTTCCATCCAGTTTAAAATATACTGAGAAAATGCACAATAGGTACTAAGAAAATGATATTCATTTTCAGGAAGTAATTCTAATGTGTCTAATATATGTTGATATGTGAGGTCTGATTACTCATTTGCAAAAGATTTTGCCAATATCTGCTTTTATTTTGAGTCCTTTAATTGTTTTTCTCTCAATTTTTTTTTGAAAAATGTCCAATCTACAGAACACTTGATACAATGAAGGTTTATATATATCCTTTACTTAAGTTCATCAATCAAGGACTTTGCCACATTTCTTTTACCTCTCTTATATCTCCTTTCTCTCTCTTTTGAACAGTTTGGGATTAACTCTGCACAATCACTAAAGTTTTACTCCTAACTGCTATAGATCATATACTAAAGAATAGGAATTCTTCTCTATCCCTCCGTTATAATATCTAACACAGTCAACAATAATATAATATCATCCAACATGTAATCAAACTACCCAAAATATGCTTTAGAGCTTTTTTGTAATCCAGTATCCAAATAACCCTCATCTGTTGCATTTAGTTACTTTCTTTAGTTCTCTTTAGTCTAAAATATTCTTCCATCTTTTGTTTTATTTTTCATGATATTGGTTTTGTTTTTGAAGAGTTCAGATACTTTTCTTGTAGAGTGTCTCACATTCTAGATTTGTCTGAGTGTTTTCTCATGATTACATTCAGTTTAAATATTTTTAGCAATACTAGACAGGTGAGGTGAGAGAGCCCTATGATTCTAAAGTTAAATAGCAGTGTTTGTCACTAATTTCAAAAACAAAATGGCTCACAATTGACATAGTTGCCATTTTTTTTACTTAAGATCTTTTCCCATGATTTTAATTTTTTACATAATTAAATTAACCTAAAGCAATATACCTAACAGTATGTAATATGAAAAATCAAGTCAGCATAACATTTACTGAGCTTACAAAGCAGCTGTTTGTATCCAAATGTGAAAGATTACTTTAATTAGAAGCTCCAAAGATTATTATGGGTATATTGCATTGTAGTTATACATGAAAAATGAACATTACAAGGCTGACAATTGATTCTTTTTCTCAACTAAGTGCTTTGTTTTATTATTAAAATCATTTTTTTAAATGTGCAACATTTGAAACAATGTGTTGCAACTAACCTAGGCGTATTATAAATCAAACAAACTAAAATGTGCATGTCAGGTATCAGTATAGAATACCAACCATAGGGCTGTATAGTAGGAAATTCACTTGTTTCTGGATGTTATTTGACATGGGATTATATGCTTTATTGATTATTTATACTCGAAGTTTAGAGTTTGTATAATTTTGCAGATAGATTTGATTTTTGTTTTTCCATTTTCCAGATCTCCACTGAACCCTGTTTTGGGTTTGACCTTTGACCAGGTGACTGCATTCACCAGAGGTGGCATTACAGTTGTATATAAAACCTTCTTGGACCCTAATGCCCTTCTGCTACCTGGATGTGACAAGTAAATTAACAAATTCTTGGTTAAGCAATCTGAATCGCCTAATTCAGTTTTCCTAGAGTGAGAGATTTAAACACTAAAAGATGTTCCTTAAATCATCTTAAATAAGCAATCATTTATTTTATTGACTTATTTCATGATACAATGAGCTAGTGCTTAGAAGACTTGTCATTAAGTTCCCTGGAGTTTTAGAAAACACGTGGGACAGTGAGCAGAGTATAGTCTTATGCTTTGCGAAGTTAACGATTTTATTTGAAATGTAAAAACTGTTTGTAGGAGATTTTTTTAGGCTAACAATGTTAAATGGAATTATTAAAATATTAAATAATTAGTTCTCTTATATGAGTGTTCATATTTAAGCATCTCATTTGATGATGGTAAATTGGAGATGAAAACACTATCCTGAAGGCATAGTGTGCAGAAGAGCGGGAGTTAGAAGATCCAGGCACTGGACCCATAGCTACTCATGATTGTCCATGAGCAGATAGGTATCAGTTTCCTACGAGTTAATGATAAAACCCAGCAGTTACTGATTGTTGACCTCAGGCCAGGCACAGTTCTATTAATAAATGAATTGGATGAGAGCATATTTAATCTGCAAAATAATTATTTTAAACCTATCATTGCTTATTAGGCTATTATTACTCCACTTTTATAGAGGCAGAAGCTGAGGCACAGAAGGGCGTTTTGCCAGTCACACGACTTGTACATGACAGTGCAAGGATTCTCACCCAGGCTGTCTTCCTTAAGAACGGAGGACTTCCTTAAGAACTGAGATAGATAACCACTATCCAGTACTGTCTAGTAGTACTTTCTCTGATGATGGAATCAGAATTTGTGGCCAATGAGCACTTGAAACATACTAGTGTGACTGAGAAACAGAATTTTAAATTTTGTTTAAATTAAACCATTTTTAATTCAAGTAGGAATATGTGGCTTGTGGCTGCCATATTGGATACTGCAGCACGATGCTGACACTATGTTGGATTAGGTGACCCATCTAACTTTTATATTTTGTAATTTAACCAATTACAACTTTCTTTAATATAGTGATGAAAAGGCTGAAATAGAGGACAGATCTAGAGAACCAAAAGCAGTCTGATGAGGTCAGTCAGTCTAGCTAATGTCAACCTATTGCTAAGTATGCCTAAAAAGACAGACTCTTTGATCTTCTCTACGCCCCCCAATGGCTGCCTGCAGTTTCTAGATAAGATTATAATGTTCTGTCTTGTTTTCTTTATCTTTATGGATAGAAAATAACTCAACACTCTTTATTAAAAGCATTTTCATTTATGAGAAGATTTATTTCATGTGTGATAATCTATACTAAGCTGTTAAATTTGCCTTTCCCTTTGGTCTTTAGCTATGAGTTTAATTTTTAATTTATGTATAGCTTCTTAATTTTACTTCTCCAGGTGCAATGAATACTGATTTAATGAATGGATTTAAATTAAATCTGTTTCCCTAAATATAGCAATGTGAAACTGCCTTTATTGAACATGAACTAGTTTGAGGATAATTTACTTAAGTTTTGGATTCCATTTGAACTTTTTTTCTATAGTCGTCATGCCCTTACTTATATTTCTCAGACTATTGAAAGAAAACTACCATCACCATTTATAGAACTGTTTTTTGTTGAATAGCATGCTGTATGGTATATCTTAACATATCAGTGCAACTTTCTTTAGGGTAAGGATGGACTCACTGTTAAAATAAGTAATTTGGCTGAGTTAAGAATGAAGCCAGCCCCTCTAGTTTGTGATTCATCCATGTAATCTCTAGACTGTGCTGCCTTTTAAAAAACTCTCTTAAAAATACCAAGCTAATATTCTGGATACAAACATTATGAATTTAAAAGCATGCTTTATTATCATAGATCAATATATTTACATGATAACTTTAACAATGAAGATGATCTCCACTGTGAGTAATTCTGTAAGATTGAAAATTGTCTTTTGTTTCCTTGTTATATTAATAATTAACTAGGCATTGGGTCCCTCCAATATCATAAATAATAGCAAGGAAAAAATTTAAAGCCTTCCTTTCCCAATTATAGATACCAAGATACTTTATAAATTTCTGTTTAAAAAGATTATAGACTATACATTGGTTTTTCTCTCACTAGAAGAGTAAGATGTATAAATTATCATACTAATAGATTAAAGAGTACTAATTTTTTATTCTAATAAGAATAATTTTATTCTAATAAGAACAATTAAATATTTTATTTTCTTAGTTGGGATGTTTGTGAGGGATTTCCAGTTAACTTCAGTGGCACCAGTCAACAGGTACCTGATCAATTTGAAAAGGTGGACATGGAGAACAGTTTCCTACAGAACAAGGTCAGAATTATTTGTTGTTCTTGATAAGAATATTTTACGTATTGAACATCCAGTCAATACATGGTGACTGGGTAGATATTTGTAAAAGTTTTGCAAAACTGTAAATTATTTTACAAATGTTAGGAGCAAGTATTATGCTTTGTGTGCATGCATGCAAAGTCGCTTCAGTCCTGTCTGAATCTTTGAGACCCCATGGACTGTAGCCCACCAGGCTCCTCTGTCCATGGGATTCTCCAGCCAATAATACTGGAGTGGGAGGCCATGCCCTCCTCCAGGGGATCTTCCCAACCCAGGGATTGAAGCTGTGTCTCTTATGTTCTCCTGCATTGGCAGGCAGGTTCTTTATTTATCATAAGTGCCACCCTGTTAATTAAGCACTTTGAAACTGAACCAGTATTGAGAAGGGTTAGAGGAAGGGATAAGGTGGGAGTTTGACATTGACATGTATAGACTGCTATATTTAAAATAAATGACCAACAAAGACATACTGTATAGTACAGGGAACTCTGCTCAATGTTCTGTAATAACCTAAATGGGAAAAGAATTTGAAAAAGAATAGGAAGAAAAAAAAACTGTACCAATATATATCATTTCTACCTAAGAAATATTCTACTTGTATTACATCATTTAAGTACAGTTGTTTAGCATATTTTCTTTATACCAACTACATTAATAAGTTGCGTTTGTTTAAGAAATTCTTTAAGATGGCTGTTATATCTTTATACTCTAGAATCTGATCTATTTCTTCTATGGGTCTGTGTATCTAAGTAGCACGTGTTCTTCAGAAAACTGTGTTTATAACACAATCCAGAAGGTCTCTTTATTAATTTACTTTAGAAATTTATCTTCCTGTAAAGAATTTTTTTCTGCCTCTGAGCTATGAAACACATTTTAAACCTGTCTCTAAAGAAGGAGTAATTCTTTTCTTTTTCTCAGCTGGTAAGTTATGTGGGGTTGTTGTTCATTTCAGCTGCATAAGCTTTAGTTTTTGAATTCATGAAATCGAAACCAAAAAGTACCCACAGAGACAGAGATGCTCAGAGAAAGCGGGGCTTCCTGTTAACTAGTCGGGGCCCTTTCTTTGTAAGAGATAATGCAAAAGACACATTGTCCCAATCTGCTGTTTTTCAGTTTCTCCATGTTGCCCGTTCAGTCTTTTATGTCAAAATTTATACCAAAAACATTAGTTGTTTCAAGGTATATGTGAAGCTAAGTTGTATAATTGTAAAGCTAGAGTAAAATAAACAATTATTTCTAGTCCTGTTTCTGAGCAAATTTAGAAAATAAATGTAAGTTGAATGGTGCACTAAGGATTAATGCATTTTGTATTTTATATTCATTGACATTAAGGTTTATTTGCCATAGTTCTCTCATCCTGTTGGCATTCTTTTTAGTTTGTGTGTGTGTGTGTGTGTGTGTGCTGTAGCTTTATTTTCGTGCTCAAAAACTTACATGCCTAACCATTGCCTATTATTCATATCATCATCTGGCCTTCGTTGATCTCCATGATTCATCTCCAGTCTTCCCCCACTCTCAACTTGTCTTTCCAATCCTCTCCATTTCTTGATCTTTGTGTACCCTGACCCTACAGTCGGAGCGAATAAACGGAGTCCCACACATGATTTACACTTCGGTTTACTCGTGCCAGTCCATGTGTTGTTCTTTGCTAGGATACAGTCCTGCCATTACTAGTCCTTACTTTTCAAGGCTTTCTTCAATTTCTTCTTTGTTCGTGAAGCCTTCTCAGATGCTCCAGAGAAATTTAACCTCAAGTTATTTTGCAACCCCAGAACTTCTTTTCACACTTTGAAATTGTTCTTAGAGTTTGTGTTTTGGTAAAGGCATTTGCTTTTGTGTCTTTGTCTTCCACTAAACTGATAATTCTTTGGACCCAGATTTTATGTCTTACTCATCTTTGTGTTCATGAGTGCTGGAACAGTCTTGGATATAGGGCAGGTGCACAATACGTTTTCATGAATGATTTTTTAAATTTAGCCATAATCTCTTTCAAGGCTCGCTATTCTCTAATTTGTTCTTTGTGTGTTAGCCAAGCTAAACTATTCATTTGTTGTTTTCTGAGTCCATGATTTCTGTTATTATGCCCGCATGAGTCCCTCTGCCTGGAATTCAACCTTTCTTTCTTTGTTACCACCCCCACCTTCTCTGTCACCCTTATGCCATATCCTAGCATGGTACTGGCATAGAGTTGGCATTCAATAAATGTTTATTGAAACCCTGCCCATCATTCTAGCCTTACCTGATTTGTGCCTGCTTCATAAAATCTTTCTTTACCGCAACTCCACCCCCAAACCAGATATGATGTTTCTGACCTTGATACTGCTGTTGCATCCATTCTATACCCTATATAATGGCATTGACTCTGTTCTGTTCCTCTTGCAACATATTTTGATGATTTAAAGTCAATCATTGTTCCAAGTTTGGGCATATTTTAGCTCACATTAGAGTAGAACAGAATGGTAGTTTCCACTGAGATTGTTGGTGTCATATCATAAAGGATCTTAATTCAAATTTTTGTTCTTCTGTAGAAAACAAGAGCCACTGGAAACATTCAAGCAGAGACAGATCTGATTTGATCCTGTGTTAGGAAGATGTCTTGGGAGATATTTATCTTATCCTCCTGCCCCTGCCTTGCAGATTAGAAATTCTGAGAAGGAACGAGCATTCTGATCATTCTTGTCTCTGTTATAGTATCTAGGTGCTCAGAGTTAGCTGAATGGAACTGAATTCTCTAGTTAATTAACTCATTCAATAGAAACCAGGTCAACCCTGGGTGGGGGGTGGGGGGGAAGGATAGTGAAGGGTTGTCAGAGGAAAAGAACCAGAAAGGTCTCTCTCTTTGATTTTAAGCCCAAGTAGAACTTTGAAAGAAAGATATATTTTGTAATACTGAAAAATGAGGGAATAAAAACCCACAGTTATTTTATCACTATTAATTTGTTCTAATGATTTAGTGAAAGTGAGAAAACACCTCATCTTACAAGTTTGTACACTACTGTATTTTTAGAAGAAGAAATTGGTTTTGGATAAAATTTCAGCTCAGTCAAAATAGTGATAAACTGGATAGTAAAGAGACACTTTCAAAGAAAGTTTCCCTTAGCTGTGAAACCTTTGAAATCCTTCCAGAAAAATGTCTCTAATTATATACAGAGGTGATCAGTGCATTGGAAATAGCAATTTAATAACCTGAAAAGGAGCACTTTTAAGAGAGATTGAGGCAGAGGTCATGGCTATCTAGAGGGCATTTTATTGTGGAATCTTGATGCTCCTCGCAATAAAGGAAGACACTAAGAGGATTACAACAGGGATAGAGAGGAGGCAGGCAAAAGCCGATATTCTTGCTGCATACGTTTTCAAATTGGCTTGAGATAGAGGTATCAGTGCCCAACCCCGACTGTTCTTTTAAATCTCGTATTGACAAGTAAAACCTTTCCTACAGAGAAAAATTTGGAACATGTAATCCGTATTAGTAATGTGGAAGGCAGATATAACCCTGACAATTACAACCTGTTGCTCTTTTATCTATTTCAAAAAAAGATTTGGAATCCACTACACATGGAGAATTTGAGTGAAAACATCTTTCAACAGTTCTATTGTTACTTAAGTTGGCAACACTTATTTGGCAATACACTTATATGTTTCCATGAAATGGGTGAGATACAAACTTCATGGTAGTTAATAAAAAAATATTCATGAGAAGACTAGCTTATTTATGGGAAAACATAGCAGAAAAATGCATGCCAGCATTTGGCAGGTCATGTATTCTGTCAAAAAGACAAGGAAACTGATTTTGATCCTAGCCTTTTGGTATGATCAGACAGCAGCAGAACATTAGAAACAATTACTAGTATAGAAACAGTAAGCAAAACACCAAATTATGATTTTAGAATTATGGCACATTTGTTATAAGTTTACTTGTAAATTCAACAATTATGGACACTGGAGGAATATATTATTCTTTATGTCGAGAAAGAGGCTAGGAAAAGGCAGATAATTCTTTACTGTCCTATTTCTTTGGAGAGCAAGTCATCAAGAAATAATATTTTCTCAGATAATTTATACTGGAGAAAGTGCAATTTTTAATCTCAATTTTGAATTTATTGCCCTTAGAATGGGATACTGGGCTTTAAATGAAATTCCAAATCCCTTCCTGATTTTTAGACCTATAGCTGGAATCTATTGAGGACTGCACACCTAAATACTAGATATTTTGATTATTCAGTTGCATAATTATGTTATTGTTGTTCAATTGCTCAGTCATGTCCAACTCTTTACAACCCCATGTACTGCAGCAAGCCAGGTTTTCCTGTCTTTTACTATCTCCTGGAGTTTGCTCAAACTCATGTTCATTGAGTCAATGATGCCATCCAACCATCTCATCCTCTGTCATCCCCTTCTCCTCCTGCCCTCAATCTTTCTCAGCAGCAGGGTCTTTTCAAATGAGTCAGTTCTTTGCATCAGGTGGCCAAAGTATTGGAGCTTCAGCTTCAGCATCAGTCCTTCCAGTGTATATTCAAGACTGATTTCCTTTAAGATTGACTGGTTTAATCTCTTTGCAGTCCAAGGGACTCTCAAGAATCTTCTCCAACACCACAGCATAATTATGTGCTCACTAATATTTTCTGCTTTTCAGTTTTTCTAGTTCTTGGTCTTAGAGGTAGGTGGATTGATCAGCTTATAGATTTTGAGAATGAAAACAATAAGCATGAATATCAAGGGCACGAGGAAAGAGATTTTAGAACATTTCTTGTAGGTGTGATTTTAATTTGTATAGTAAATTATTTAGTGTTAAAATGTTAGTCACTCAGTCATGTGCAACTCTTTGCAACTCCTTGGACTGTAGCCTGCTAGGATTCTCTGTTTCTGCGATTGTCCTGGCAAGAATACTGGAGTGGGTTGCCGTTTCCTCTCCTAGGGGATCTTCCCAGCCCGGGGATCAAACCCAGGTCTCCTGCATAGGCAGATTCTTTACCATCTGAGCCCCCAACTTGGTCCTAAAATTACTACCAAAAGGAAAAATCTTATAAAATTCTATCTAAAGTAAAAATATTTTTAGAATGAAGATTGTGGCCTATGAGCTCCTTTTTTCACAAAAAATTTCATGGTCTTACATTTGTTCCTCAGTAGATATGCAGGAAGAGACCTTATTACTTTGAAATTGCACAGGAATTTTGAAGTCTACTCCATTTTCATTGGTAGTTTGGGGAAAGGTGATTAAACAAGAAATTTTAACTGGCCCAGTACATGTATGCCTCATTTTTAATCACTGGCGTCATCTGTATCAGCACAGTTTATTCAGATAAGTAAAATCATAATGGTCACTTAAAGGAAGCTATGTATGTAGGTATTCAAAAGAATAAAAGAAAATTTCTTTTTTTAATCCTCAAAAGACTAAAAGGTTTTCTAATTACACATGTTATGGTATATATTTGGAGACCTGTGCCAACATAAATGCTATCATACACATGCTCATGCATGCACATGTGCACATGTACACACTCCCACACAAACACTCACATATAGTGACACATATGGCATATTATGTTGTAGGTTGTCAGAGCACTTTTCAAAATTTATCTCCCGCACCTTCCTAAACATTTCATCTGAAGCTAAGCTATCAAATTAAATTAAAAAGAAAAAAGTAGGTGATGTCGTGAAGAGAATTTAATGGCCATTGTCAATTTTAAGTGTATTAGAACCCCGACTTGACAGGACTTTTTTTTTTAATAACATTAAATGAAGCTGAGTTAGTGGGCCTGGCTCTGTCTGGTCTATGTAGAATCACTTGGGAACCGTCCAGCAAAATATCTCTTAGAGAACAGCATGGTGTTAATACTGGGTGCCAACCCAAGACAGAAACAAAGGAGCCCTTCGCTCTTCACCAATAAGCCAACTGTTAAAAGATTAAGCCGTGTTGTGCAGATAACAAGAATTTAGGCACTGGCAGCAGGTGCTGTACAAAGAAGCAGTTGGCAGTACGGGTCTTCTGTCTGACTAATACAGTCAAAACAATCTTCTTCCCAGTTGCAGAGGAGAGTTCTGAGTGTGGTGGCAACTTGGAGTTAGGAGGTTGACTAAGAGTGCTACTTTAAATGCTGAGTCCTGTGGGGAATGAATTAGTAGAATATAGTTTATCATTGTTCAGAAACTGTGAGAAATTCCCATCTAGAGTCCAGTCACTACTGGCTAACTGGGGAATAAATCAGCAAAGAACTCTTAAGTCAAGTCTCCTTATGTGGTGGGGTTACTGTATTTTTAAAATTTTATTTTCATGTATATGAGTCATATGACATTTTCGTCCATAATAGAACAATTATCAAATGTATTAGTCATACCCTTTTGTTATTTCCTGTTTACACTTGTAAAGCATCACCTTTTAAATTATCATTTAACTTTTTTTTTAAATCATTTGCTACTCAAAATCTAGTGTTAGCAAAGAATTAGAATAGACATTTCAATATTAGAAAATTATTTAAATTGCTACTGAATCAATATTATTTACCAAGTTTAAAGCGTAAGTTGATATATTCTCATAATCCTATACAAATAAATATTAGCACTTAAAGTTAGCATGCTTTTTCAGGGAAAGTGATTATATAAGGTAGGAGGTAAAGTTTATTAAATATGAAGGAGAGTGAGAAAAAGCAAAGAAGGAAAGGAAAGCTATATCCATCTGAATGCAGAATTCCAAAGAATAGAAAGAAGACATAAGAAAGCCTTCCTAAGTGAACAGTGCAAAGAAATAGAGGAAAACAATAGAATGGAAAAGACTAGAGATCTCTTCAAGAAAATAAAGATACCAACAGAACATTTCATACAAAGATGGGCACAATAAAGGACAGAAATGGCATGGACCTAACAGAAGCAGAAAATATTAAGAAGAGGTGGCAAGAATACACAGAACTATACAGAAAAGATCTTCATGACCCAGATAACCACGATGGTGTGATCACTCACCTAGAGCCAGACATCCTGGAGTCTGAAGTCAAGTGGGCCTTAGGAAGCATCACTACAAACAAAGCTAGTGGAGGTGATGGAATTCCAGTTGAGCTATTTCAAATCCTAAAAGATGATGCTGTGAAAGTACTGCACTCAATACACCAGAAATTTTGGAAAACTCAGCAGTGGCCACAGGACTGGAAAAGGTCAGTTTTCATTCCAGTCCCAAAGAAGGCAATGTCAAAGAATGTTCAAACTACCACACAGTTGCACTCATCTCACACACTAGCAAAGTAATGCTCAATATTCTCTAAGCCAGGCTTCAGCAATTCATGAACCAAGAACTTCCAGATGTTCAAGCTGGTTTTAGAAAAGGCAGAGGAACCAGAGATCAAATTGCCAACATCCACTTGATCATAGAAAAAGTAAGAGAATGCCAGAAAAATATCTACTTCTGTTTCATTGACTACACTAAAGCCTTTGACCGTGTGGATCACAACAAACTGAGGAAAATTCTTAGAGTTGGGAATACCAGATCACCTTATCTGCCTCCTGAGAAATCTGTATGCAGGTCAAGAAGCAACAGTTAGAACAAGATATGGAACATGAAACAACAGACTGGTTCAAATTGGTAAAAGAGTACTTCAAGGCTGTATATTGTCACCCTGCTTATCTAACTTATATGCAGGGTACATCATGTGAAATGCTGGACTGGATGAAGCACAAACTGAAATCAAGATTGCTGGGAAAAACATCAATAAGTTCAGATATGCAGATGATACCACCCTTATGGCAGAAAGTAAAGAGGAAATAAAGAGCCTCTAACTGAAAGTGAAAGGAGGATGAAAAAGCTGATTTAAAACTCAGCATTCAAAAAACTAAGATCATGGCCTCTGGTCCCATCACTTCATGGCAAATAGATGGGGAAACAATGGTCCCATCACTTCATGGCAAATAGATGGGGAAACAGACTTTATTTTCTTGGGCTCCGAAATCACTGCAGACGGTGACTGCAGCCATGAAATTTAAAGATGCCTGCTCCTTGGAAGAAAAGCTATGACTAACCTAGACAGCATATTAAAAAGCAGAGACATTTCTTTGCTGACAAAGGTCCATATAATCAAAGCTATGGTTTTTCCAGTAGTTATGTATGGATGTGAAGAGTTGGACCATAAAGAAGACTGAGCACCAAAGAATTGATGCTTTTGAACTGTGGTGTTGGAGAGGACTCCTGAGGGTTTTTTGGACTGCAAGGAGATCAGACCAGTCAATCTTAAAGAAAATCAGTCCTGAATATTCATTGAATGGGCTAATGCTGAAGCTAAAGCTCCAGTACTTTGGCCACCTGATGCAATGAACTGACTCATTGGAAAAGACCCTGATGCTGGGAAAGATTGAAGGCAGGAGGAGAAGGGGATGGCAGAGGATGAGATGGTTGCATGGCATCACTGACTCAATGGACATGAGTTTGAGCAAGCCCGGGGAGATGGTGAAGGACAGGAAACCTGGCGTGCTGCAGTCTGTGGGGTTGCACAGAGACGAACAGGACTGAGCGACTGAACAAGAGCAGCAACAAACATGAAGAAGTAGAATTCTGACAGATGACATGAATGACCGTTCATTTAAGTTGATCATCAAGTCTAAGTGAGAAATGTTAGAAGGTGCACAGTACTTTTGGCGTTTGCCGTCTTATAAACACATGGGACACAGAGGCAGTACCTCCCCAGTCGACCCTCTCCCATCCATTCTGGCAACAATCACTGAAATCTCAACATGCTAATCGCTTCCATCGTGTTTGTCTCTTTTCGACCCCATGGACTGTAGCCCACCAGGCTTCCATGTCCATGGGATTCTCTAGGCAAAAATACTGGAGTGGGTTGCCATTTCCTTCTGCAAGGATCTTCCCAAACCAGGGATCTAATCCACATCTCTTATGTCTCCTGCATTGGCAGGCGGGTTTTTTATCACTAACCCTGCTCCTATCCCTTAATTCTTATGAAGTTGTACAAGCTCTCAACTGTTCTCCCTGCCTTTGATCTCTCCTTATTGCAATCCATTATGTTTGCATTTGCCAGATCAACCTTTGTAAAGTCTTCTGTTATACAGACACTCCTCCGAGAAAACCCCACTGACACCTACTTCCATAGCATTACACTTGACCCCTTCTAAGTCTGGCCAAATTTAACTTTTGAGTCTTCTGTTAAATCCTAAGATATATTGATTATACTAATTGCTTTTGCTTGGACTGCCTTTTTTTCCTTCATTATTCTTGTCGAACTGCTTCCATCCTTCAAGACCTGGTCCAGATGTTACCTCTTTCAAGATGTCTCACTTTTTGTTGCTCCTGTAAATGAGACTACCATTCTTTGCATCTTATAGCAGTATTTAATCATCCAAATGGAGCTTAACACGAAATCATGCATGTGTGTGCATGTGTGCCCATGTGTGTGTGTTATTGCCTCTATGCATGTAAATTTATTTAAGGCAGGAAAACACTTTATAATATTCCATATCACACAGTCCAGGGCCTTCTGTATCAGAGCTGGTGTTCAACAAAGATTAATTTAATTGAGTTAGTGGGATTGGGCACTACTGTTTCAAAAGAGACCATCTCAATGAGAAACATGTTCAAGATTAATCTATCTTGGGTAACTATGCTGAGGAAGTTTGACTTTCAGACTATAAGTTAATAACTTGTTTCTTTTCATGGCATAGGTGGACTCCAATATTGTCCTTCATGCCTCTGTTTCTGTCAGAAAGCAGAGTTTCTCAAGCAGTAAAGAGAGCAGTGGGAGCCAGATAGCACCATCGACCCTGTGGCCTGCAGCCAGTGTGTGGCTGATCACAAAGGTATCCACGAATGTCTGCTCTCTCTGAGTCACTTCGGGGGCTCACTGGCTCACTGGCTCACTTTGCTGCTCCATTTCCTGACATTCTCCCTCATATAAGCTTGCAACTGAAAGCACTGCAGTTGTTGACTGTTGTGAATCTGTGATCTCCTCTTCTTTTGTCTAGTACAGAGGACACTGACATGAATATTCAACTCACTTTTAGATGGGCTGATTAGTTAGTACTCGAGAATGTTATTTAAACTAGCATAGAGCTTTGCTATAGTCTGCAGAATCACCATTTTCACAAGATTTGCCTGAATATCATTTGCTTCCCCTCCTTAGTCTTTATTGTTGAGGTTCACAGAGCCTGGTGAATCAGTACGATATAGTGATAGAATAAGACCATATTCTAGTCTTAGTCTTAGTTTTAAAACTCTTAGTTTTAAAAGAAATCCCTGAGTATAAAATGTGAACAATGCCTAACACAAAACCTATGTCTTGGCATTATTTTTTTAAACTTTACTCTTACATTATTGAATCAGATTTAAGTTGAGAATATATAATTGCTCTCCCCTTCCCTTTTACTATTGAAATACATTTTATGATTGCCACCAAATATTTATGACTGGAAAGAGATGATGCAGCTTGTTTCTACCCTTCTCCTGCCTCCCCTTGTCTCCTCCGTGTAGACTATTTTTGCTTCTTCCTAGCACTTCCATAAGTGCAGAGTCACTCAGGCAAGTATGTTGCTACTTAGTTTAGGGGGTAGGAGAGATTGAAATGATTTTTTCAAATAAAATTTTGAATTACTCTTAACTATTAATTTTGCTTTTCAGAGAGCTAAAACCAAAAATTAGAGTAATTGAGACACAAAGATACTAAAAATTATTATCCACTTCATTGACAAAGGCAGAATGAGATTAGATATTTCTTAAATCTGCTTCCAACCTGGAGACTCTCTTAACTACTAGTCCTTTTTATTAATATGTTGTATTTTATTTCTGATTTAGAAATAATATTGCCATTTTGTTAAACATATGTTAAATGTTGTATACACATGTATTATCTCATTTAAGCTCATAAAAATTATGCAAATTTTCACTATACAGCTGAAAAACTGTGGCCAGTAGGTGATAGAGGAAAGATTCTTGGTCTGTCTAACTTCAAAACTTATGCCATTTTACTGCATTTCAATATAAAACACTTCTCTATATCTGACCAATTTATGAGCATTGATGGAAATATTTTAGTTTTAGCACTACCACTGAATACCAGTGTGACCTCAAGTAAGTCACATACCGTATCTGGGCCTTAGTCTTCTGGTAACGGAGTTGGACCAGATGATATGGAAGATTATTTTTCCAGATCTCGTATTCTCTAATTCTGTGGCATCTGTTTCTAGAATTTCATGATATCAAAAATCTTGTACTTACCTAAAAATTTTCCTGAAAGAATTTAAATGCTTGCTGCAAAGAGTATGAGTTTTGGAGTTAGACAGGTCAGACTTAGAATCATTTCTATGTCTTTGGAAAGTTACTTAGCTGCACTGAAACACAATTTTCTTATATATAAGATGAAGTTAGTCCCTTTTGCCTTGTATAGTGGCTATAGTGATTGAGAAAATATGTTTGAAGTTCAAGCATACTATCTGGTATACAGAAAGTGCTTAATAAGTGATGATTCTTTTTCCTCACCCCAAGGAGTTCCCTTTCTCTATAGACAAGCATGTTCAAATGAGGATTCCATTCAATGCTAATTAGAACAAAAATTTACAAAAATACTTTTTTCCCCTAAGTCATTGTGTAGTTCTTTCTCACACAACAAAACCATGAGAAATCGAAGTCACATGTTAAAAAGAAAACAATTTTGAAAATCTCCTAAGATTTAAAGTTCTATCATTTTTTTCCAAAATAAATTAGTTTACCTATTAAAAAAGAGAAGTTTCCATGCCATAAATCCTCAATATGTGTAAATAAATTCCTCAGTGGTTGTCACTTATTTAAAATGTGTCAATTTACTAAGTAAGAAAATTGTTAAATGCCTATTCAAGTAATATTCTCAATCAGCTTCCTTATCAGAGAATTGTAACATTTAAAATGAAAGTAGTTAATAAACCACCTTAAAATGTTTAACCCATGATATTTAGACCTAAAATAAAACTTTAAATTGGTATCAGAGGTTAAGGATTTGTTTCAATCTTTTCAGTTCACTGCCTTTATTTATTTTTTTTTTCTGTGCATACATATTTCAAGTAAGCTCTGTAGTTATAACTATAACAAGTGACACGAATGGACCCCAAATCACTACACTGTGAAATATGCACAGAAAAAAAGGACAAATGAAGATATCAAGGTCTGTTTTATTTTCGCTGAACTGTAAAATGCCACCCTTGTCCAACAGAAGATCACTGATTCTGAGCAGGGCTCACTGACTGCTAAGTTGTGGGTAGTGTTTCACTTTCGGCAACTGTTAATATCCGAGTTTATCCAGGCATAATGACCTCACTATTTGTGACACATTGTTGAATTTTCTGGTTCTTTTAACTTATTTAGACCTTTCTCCCCCATCTCTATTCATTGGAAGACTGGAATGATCCTGAGCCAAGCAATAACTCAGAGCTGTCTAGCTGTTGGTCATCCAATCAGAGTCAAGGCTACTGACGGAACATCACTACAAGGATACAAATTAATCCTACAGAAAAGGTAATGTTTATGAGCTATGTACCTGAAAACAAAAAATGTTAATTTCAAGATTCCTGAGCAGTCAAATTATCATGCTTTCTATCTTAGATGGAATATTCATTATGTTTTAAATTTGTGTTCAAAATATCAAGATTAATTTTTCTAAAATAAGCTTGAAAACATATGCCACTTAATTAGATAGTATGCCTTAGATATTTTTAAAACTGAAAAGCTGCCTTCAGTATATATCTGTTGTAGACAAGCTGCTGCTTTACTCTGTAATTATTGGAACTTATTTCTTTGTATACATTTTGGTTATTAATTTAAGAATTTAATGTGTTATGTGTATTCCTAATCTTTTCTCCATCTTCTGAATATGAAATATTGAACAATGAAGGAAAAATCAAGGAGACAAAAAAATTCTGGCTAGTTAAGGCACCAAAACTGTCATTCTTGTTTGTTTTTTCTGACTTGGAGGATAAAATTTAAAATAGATTTAGAAGAAAAAATTAGCAGTAAGGAAGAAAGGTGACTTATCTCCAACTGCTTGGAAATATTGCTTCCTAAATCTGTTTTCTATTTCATTTGTCTTTTGATTTTACCTAGTGTTGACAAAAACAAGTCCTATTGTATTTCAAGACCTAGAAAGCTATTAGCCAACTACTCTGGCTAGATAGACAATTAGGATGTGCTTAGGGCTAAAGCCAGAACTAGGGCATTTAGGCACCAGAGAAAGTTTGGCTTAGCCACAGATACAGAAGGGAAATTTTCTCTAACATGCAAAGCATACTGTCCAACAGGTATTAGAAAATTACATAGTGGTTTAAGAACATGATCTACAGAGTCAGATTTTGAGGTATAAATCCTAGCTGTAACACTTACTGTAGCAGCAACAACAACAACAAAAACAAATTCCGAGCCAGACACTATTTTAATTCATCTGCATTGTATTTTTACATTTAAACTCAACAACACTTGATAAGGTAGGTAGCATTACTATCCTTACAGGTGGGAGATTGAAATACAGAGTTTAATCACTTACTCAAGATCATATCTAAGTGATTGAGGAGGAATGCAAAGTCAAGCAACTGTAATCTATAACTCACTCTTAGCCACAAAACTATATAGTCTGTAGGTCAAAATCCAATCATACAATTGCCAGTGAGTGCCAAGTGTGGTAGTAGATAGCTCAGAGAATGAGTAAGGTGCATGAATTGAAGCACCCAAGCAGGAGGAAGAGAGGGACAGTAGCTTGCTATCACATAAACTGGCCAGTGTGAGTAGAGTCCTAAACACATAGTTCTCAAGGAGGAGCAAACAAACCCAAAGCAAATCCCAGGTTGATATGGTGCTATACATGGAGTAGCTAACAAGTTTTCTGGGGCAGAATCAATCCTGTAAACTGGAAACCCACAAAGCGTCAAGTTGCAGTAATAACAAGTGCAAACCATGGGACATGGAGCCAGAGATGCTTCAGCTCACTTAGTCCAGGGTTATAATAAAGAGAAGAATCAGTCAATTGTAACTAACCTAGAAATGATACAGATTATAGAATTAATACACAGATCATTAAAACAGTTGTTATCATTGTATTCCATATATCAGGTAGCTAGAGGAAAGATTGAACACACTAAACAGAGACACAGAACATATAAAAAGGCTCAAATCAAATTTCCAGATATGAAAACTTCAATGTATCACTTGAAAAATATGCTGAATTTGTCTAATAGCAGAATAGATATTGTGGAAGAAAATTTTAGTATATTTAGATACCAAAAGAAACTATTCACAGTGAAAACCAAAGAGGAAAAAATATGAATTCAAGAAAAATGAACAGAGCACAGTTGGTTGTGAAAAGCTTCAGATGGCCTAATCTCAGAATAATTAGAGTCTCTAAAGGGAAGAAGCAGGGAACAGAAAAATATTGGAAAAAATGATGTCTTCTAAAAATATAGGACAAAAATTTTCAAAATTTTGTGAAAACTACAACCCACACATCCAAGAAGTTCAACAGATTTTAAGCATAAGAAACACTAAGAAAAGAAACCAAGAAAAATCATAATCAAATTCCTTAAAATTAGTGATAAAGAGAAAAATCTTATGAGTACACAGAAAAGACATTTATTACATACAAAAGGAATAAAGATAAGAATGACAGCAGATTTCTTTTGGTAACAATAAGAGTGAGAAGAAAGTGGAAGAATATATTTAAAAACTCAAAGAACAAAAAAACCAACCTATCAATATAGAAATCATTTCCCAATGAAAATATTAATATCTTTTAAATATTAAGGCAAAATAAAAAATTCAGATATTAGTCAGAAACTGAAAGTATTTATCACCAGAAGACCTAGAGAACAAGCACTGTTTAAAGAATTCCTTCAAGCAGAAGAATATTGGTATCAGATGAAAATGAAGAGCACTGGGAATAATAACCACATAGACAATATAAAGATCTCATTTCTTATTTAAGTCTCTTTAAAATATAATTTTTTGTTTAAAGCAAAAAATAGTAATATATTATGGAGAGAAAAACATGTAGATGCAAAATATATGAAGTTAACAGTACAAATACCAATAGGAGAAATGGAATGAAGATTCTCATACTGTATTTGTCAAGTGGTATGATATCCAGTGGCTCAGCAGTAAGAATCCACCTGCAATGCAGGAGATGCAGGTTCAATCTCTGGGTCAGAAAGATCCTCTGGAAAAAGAAATGGCAACCCACTCCAATATTCTTGCCTGGGAAATGCCATGGACAGACGAGCCTGGCCGGCTACAGTCCATCACAAAGGAGTCAGACATGACTTAGCAACTAAATAACAATAATGATATCAACTGAAGGTAGACTGATAAGTTAAGGATGTCCTATAAGTTAAACAATATCCTATTTCAATAATGAACACGTGAGGAGGAAACTGTGAAAGTACAGAAGACTAGAACAACACTGTCAATCAACTTGACCTAATTGATATTTATAGAGGAACATACCCAAGAAAAGCAGAAGACATATTCATTTAAAGGAACAGTATATTAAATCAAATGGAGTATATTCTAGCTATAAAATAAGTCTCAATACATTTAACAAAATTTAAATATTATAAAAAAGATTCTCTGGCCATAATAGAATTACACTAGAAATCAGATAGATTTCACAACAAGGTCCTACTGTATAGCACAGGGAACTTTATTGACTATCCTATGATAAGCCATAATAGAAAAAAACATAAAAAAGAAAGTATATGTGTATGTATAACTGAATCACTTTGCTCTATGTCAGAAGTTAACATAACACTGTAAATCAACCATACTTAAATTAAAAAAAAAATAGCAGATAGCTTTCTGGAAAACCCTCAAGTATCTGGACATAAGTAACACATTTCTAAATGAGCCAAAAATCAAAGAAGAAATCAAAATGGAAATTAGCAAGTATTTTTGAACTGAATGAAAATGAAAATACACATATTAAAAATTGTGGGATGCTGCCCAAGAAGTTCTTAGATGGAAATTTATGTAAATACCTATATAAGGAAAGAAGTGAAAGTGAAAGTTGCTCAGTTGTGCTCAATTCTTTGTGACCCATGGATAGTCCATGGAATTCTCCAGGCCAGAATACTGGAGCGGGTAGCATTTCCCTTCTCCAGGAGATCTTCCCAACCCAGGAATCAAACCAGGGTCTCCTACAATGCAGGCGGATTCTTTACCAACTAAGCTAAGAAGAAAGATAACAAATCAGTGACCTCAGCTTCCATTTTGAGAAGCTAGAGTAAGAAGAGCAAATCAAACTCAAAGTAATCAGAAGACAGAAAATAATAAAAGTTAGAGTGGAAATCAATGAAATAGAAAATAGGAAAAAAAGAAAAATCAACAAAATCAAAAGTTTTTTTTTCAAAGATCAAAGAAACTGATAAATCTCTAGCCAGACTGCTCGGGAAATAAAGGAATAGGACACAAATTACCATTATCAGGAATGAGAGAGGTGATATCACACAGTTATTAAATGGATAATGGAACATTTTGAACAAAGATGTGCCAATAAAATTGCCAAACTGAGATGATTAAAGACCAGTTTCTTCAAGGGCACAAATTGCCAATGTCTACTCAAGAGGAAATAGGTAAGCTGAATAGTCCTGGATCTCTTAAAGAAATTAAATTTTTAGTTAAAAACTTTCCCACAAAGAGAACCTCAGATTCAGATGATTTCACTAGCTTCACTGGGGAATTCTGCCAAATAATGCCAAGTCTCCATTTTCTTACATAGAAAATAGAAGAGGGAATACTTTCTAGCTAATTCTATGAGGCCAGTATTATTCTGAAAGCAGAAATCAGACAGACATTACAGGAAAAGAAAATCATAGACCAATATCCCTTGTGAACATAAATGCAAAAAATTCTTAACCTTTTAACAAGTTGAATACAATAAAAAAGACAATATACCATGACCAAGCAGTGTTTATCCCAGGAGAATGAAGTTGAAAATCAATCAATGTAAATCACTCAATTGGCAGACGGAAAAGGAAAAAAATCACAAACATCAAATTGATATAGGAAAAGCTTTTAACAAAGGTAAGAATCCCTTCCTAATAGAAAGTTTTCTATTCAGAAAACTGATTAGAAGGGAACTTGGTCAATATGACAAAGGACATCTGCAAAAAAACATACAGCTGACATATTTAAAGATGAAAGACTAGTGCTTCCTCCTAAAGTCCAAAACAAGGCAAGGTTGTCCACTTTCACCTATTCAACATTGCATAGAAAACTATAGCCAGTATAATAAGAAAGGAAAAAGAAATAAAAGACATCTAGATATGAATTGAAGAAGTAAAACTGACTTTAATTTCAAATGGTATGATTATCTACATAGAAAATTCTTTGAAAACTGCAAACAATTTCTACAACTAATAAATGAGTTTAGCAAGTTTGAGGGCTTGAGATCAATAAATATATATGTTATATACATACATAAACACTATATATGTGTGTATATATATATGTATATACATATACATATACATTATTTG